CTAATATATTTATAAATATATTCATATGTGATATTTTAAAAATTATAACTTCTAAATTAGAAAAAAAAGATATTTATGTTATTAATTATTAATAATATCAAAAAAGATAAAAAAAATATCTACTCTATCTATTATTAATATAATCCAGATTTTTTTTGATTCAATAATAAATTAATCAGAATTTTTAATTATTTTATCATTTAAGTTTATTGATAAATCTCTATTTTCTGAGATCATGAATATAGAATCTTTGGATGATAAATCTAAATCATTAAAAATTATCAAGAAATTAAAGATTTGAAACTATATTTTATTAGTAAATAATAAGTTAGAGATTTCTTCTAATTTACTTGTAAATAATAAATCAAAAATTAATAATAAAGAAATTTTCTAGCAAATATCATATCTATCTGAATATTTGACTAGAAAGTAATAAGAAATACATCTTCATAAAAAAATTATTGAACTTAATAAAGATTCTAACAAATTTATTATTATTACTAAGCTTAATTTTATAATATTTCATAATAGAATACAGATTAATATGAAAATATGTGATTTTATAAAGAAGATCAAAGAAGATCTCAATAAATATATAAATATAATAGTATAAAAAAGATTAATAAGTAAAGAAATAATCTGTCATTCTTTCAAGAAAGATGAAATTATCTTATTATGACTATATATTAATAAGAAATAGAAAAAAATAATTAATATATTTCAGAAAAATGATATATTATAATAATTACTTAGTTAATAAGAAGTAAATAAGATGAATTTTGCAAATAAAAGCTTTAATATAAAGAAGTTTTTACTTTTACAAACTAGTTAATATAAAATTTTCAGATAAAAATATTATGCAAACTCTAATATTTAATATATACTAATTTTTGTGATACTTAAGAATATAATACTATTTCTCTCAAAATAAATTATTTATAGTGATAATTAAAAATAATATAATATATAAATTATAATTTTTAAATTATTATATCTCTTTCAGATTTAAAAAATATCAAATTATAATTGATATTATTAAATAATATAATAATATAATTTTATAATTATAAATTTATTACTGTATTAATAATTTAAATTTTTTTTAAATTAAAAACATATTTAATATTATATGTTATATTATATTTGTTCTTTTTAAATATAATAAAAATTACTCATATATATCAATAAAAAAATTTATTTTTTTATATTTTTTTTAAAAACTAACTAATTTAGTTTAGCTTTACCATTTTATATATTTACTATAGATTTTTATTATATTTAATATTCTTTTTGGTATTAACTTAATAAGAAAAGTACATATCTTAACTTTAATATTATTTTATATATCCTAAATTTGCTCTTACAGATTTTTCTTATCTGAAATTATATTCAAAAGATAATATAAATGATAATTAATAATATTTTATAAATACTAAGATTAGATAATTAGGATAATTAATCAAGTATATTAACTTTATTATCAATAAATTATTTTTTTATATTTATAATAATATATTTTAGATCATTATTCTATTAAAAAACAATATTTTTTAATATATAATCATAATATTTGATAATATTCATAAATTTTTCTGCAAGAATTTTTCTATATAATATATTATTTATAATTTCTTTAATCTTATAAAGATAATCAATATCATAAATAGTAAAATAATCTCACATCATTATTTTATCACCACCAAATTTAATCATAAATTTGACATGTATACTTTTTAATAGCTTCTTCTTTCTTTTTCAATAATATTTATACTTATTTAATCTGAAAATATTAAATTTTAACTCATCAAATTAGATTATACTTGCTTATTTTTTTTTATCTAATTTTTATATTTTTTTGCAAATTCTAGCCTATATTTCTAATATTCTTTCTTCAAATATAACTTTTACTTTATTTTTGATATTAATCTATTATTATTAAGTATATGACAAATGATTAATACAGAAACTTCAAGATTTTTGTTTTCATAAAGATAATTTCAGACTTTGATAATGGTTAAGTATCTATAAAAAATAATTAGATTAATTATTTTTTGTTCTAATTTCTCATTATAATATTTGAATAATTAAATCTGCTAATATCAGAGAGTATATAATTTTAATACCATCTTTGATTTATATAGATAATAGTAGAAGTATTAATATTTTATTTTCTTGCAATTTCTCATACAGAATATTCTTTTTAAGAGTGAGAATTATCTTTGCTCTTTCTTTTGGACTTGTATTATACTTTATCTTCTTCTATATATCAAGAAGCTTTAATATTAAGAAAAAAAAACAGATTAATAATTATTATTACATATTATCAAGATTATATAGCTTTTATTATATTATTTAATTTGCAAAGAAAAAGAACAAAAATAATATAACACCAAATTTCAAATATTTTTTGAATTTAGAAAAAAAGTAAATTAATAATTCATATTAAATTTATAAAATATCAATCTATAGTATTGTATTATTTAATCATATCAATCATGATTTGATATTTTTAAATTTGAAAGAGATATAATAATTTAAAAATTATGATTTGAATATTATATTATTTTTGATTGTCACTATATATATTAGAAATTGAAGAAGTTGAATTAATAAGAGCATTTTTCTGTCTCTCCCTTTTGGCCTGATGAATAAAATTTATTGGCATGTTTAGAACAATAACCCATATAATATAAGATGAATTTCTCACATATACCACAAGACAATTTTAATAATTTATTAATGTTTTTCAATGAAGAATACATCTGGTTAGATGAGTACAGACTCATCCACAAATGCTTTCATCCATTTTAACATGTATACAAGTAAGACAATTCATATCAAATCTTTTTTCACTTTATTACAAGTATAACAAAATATTCAAAATATGTAAGAAAATGTTATATAAAAATCAATTTAAATATTGATGGAAAAAATGTATCATATATAATAAAGAATACTAACGTGATACTACATATACCACATATCCCATGGAAACATCCCAGAAAGTAGTCAACTTATTAACCAAGAGATTGATCACAACGGGCCAGCATTTTACAGACTAATACGCAATAACTTCAGGTATGTAGCCAAATTTCTACAATTATCAGATAATTATTATATAGAACAGATGGACTTTTTATATGTTCTGTCCCATCCAGCTATGATACCTCCAGTTAATGTAATACAGAACAGACCTGATATTTACAAGAAATGATCCATAAATATAGAAACATACTAGAATCTATTCCAAATATTGTAGATTCGAAGAACCATGATTTGGAAAATCACCTATGGCCTGCTCCGTAATAAAAAATAAATACTGTAAAACGTTATCATAGCCTGGGCTCCTACCCCAAAGCCATAAATTTTTCGTTATATCCTATATATTAGTAAATTTTAAATCGACGTCCCGGTTACCCTATAGATAAACATAAACTCTCTTTTTCTGAATATATGAGGAAAAAGCATAATTAATTTCGATTTGAAAAAATATTTTCCATAGTTATAGTCCGCACAAATATCTCAATCAACAATGTCAAAAGTTACAACAAATTTCGTAAATCAGTATAACTTAACTCCTCAGATGAGTATAGCTGAGCTTGATAAATATGCTGAAAAAATATATAAAGATTTAAAAGATTATAAAGCTCGTGATCACGCTCAAAATAGAATCCAGAAGTTAGGATTTAGCAGAGATCAAACATATACCTTAATTCCTATCCAGACTTCTGGAAGGCGTGTTACAGGGCGAGACCTGATTAAAAAGCTCACTCAATATATTAAGGAAAATGAAGATAATCTTGAACCCGAAGAAATATATGAACTAGCATATAACTTAGCTAAAACAGCCAGCACCGTAATAGCCCAATCTTCACGTCTTAAATTGCTCCGAAAAGAATTACGCAAGCTCGATGCTGATTATACAAAGTGAAAATAATCAACAATACGCCCTTGTCCAGAACATGAATCGCAGAGGATCTGATTAACAAAGTGAAGCTTCATCTTCCTCCACCCACTCATCTTCAAACTCATCAGGTAAAGATTAAGATTGGACTGAATATACTTGACAGAAATCGCTTCGCAGACAAGTCTGAAGTGGCTAAATTTATTGATTAATAATTTCGATTGCAGAATCTGAACGAATCCCATTTGCGATCATTACCTCAACTATTTGGACTCGCTTTAAGAAGCCTTCGATAGGGCCATAGCCGAAAGAAATTATACTTTTGATGAAATGTGCTATTCTGTAGAAATGCATTGGGACAAACTACAGTTAAAAAATTTTATAATAGAAGTTAATGAAATCGGTACAATATGGGGTAGGGAAAGGAACTGCCCTTTTTTACTATGTAAAAAGGCCTAGGATCCCGGCAGGCATGTTTTCATGCTTTATTCCTCCCTCTTTGTTCCTGCTCCACGAATATGATTACATAGTAGTATAACGTTAAAATAATTATTATAAAGTTGTCAGGCACAAAGTGCCATTTCTTCCGAAATAAATATAACCTGTGTGTATATTAAATAATATGTTTACAAGACTACGTGCCCCACTTATTAGGATAACAATAAGATATTGCATCCAACTTTCTACCCGACCCTTCTGGGATCAGGTGTACTTGCCATACAAGAGGGACAGCGTCCATACACCCTCTTCTATTAGGATAACCATGAGTGCATGGCATCCAGCGTTCGCCTTTGCTGAACCAATTAGCTTGGCTTCAGACTACTTGCCCTACATAGAGGGGTTTATACACCCTCTTCTATTAGGATAATCATGATCTCACTATCAGTGCGCATGACATCCAGCGTTCGCCTTAGACTACTTGCCCTACATTAGAAGGAGTATGGTGTCTTGATTGAGTTTAACGTTAAGAGCAAAAAGTTCGTGTAACAGATTATCTAAAAAGGTCAAAATAAGCCTGCTCTCACGTGAGCATATCATAGTCGCGCGTAAGTCGCGTGTAGAATACCATTTCTTGTATTTTGATCGTGTCGCCATAATGAAGAAAAATTTAAGGAAGAGCTCAAAACTTCTTTCCCGAACCATTGTAAGTTTCAAAAGTATAGTTTATGTACAAATAACGAAAATTGACTCATTCAATGCATTTAGACAAATATCGATAAAAGACGGAAAATCGCGGTCAAACAACTACAGACGCAGGCCTTAGTCATCTCTTCCGAAGAATATGTTGAACGTTCACAAGGAGCTCGTTCCATTATTGCACGTGGTCTCTTACCAAATGAAGACAGCCAAGCTCCACACGATGTCCAGAATGATAATCCCGAAAGTACTAGTGACGAGGAAGGTAATATATCTCCATGCGAGTTAGCAAGTATTAGGAAAGCAGAGCGCCATCTGTTATTATATAAAAAGACTACTGATGATAAAAATTACATTGACGATGAAGTTGATGAGGATAACAAGGGTACTGATGATGAAAATTACACTGACGATGAAGTTGATGAAGATAAAAATAGTTCTGATGATGAGGTTTACAGAGACAATATAGTTGATGAGGATAGCAAGAAAAAGGTAAATCTTTTTGTAGATTCCAATTTTTGATGCTTTGAGAAGATTTTAATATAAAGCCTTTTTATGATGCACTCATAGATTAGTGAAATTCCTCTGCAAGAAAAGCAAAGGAAAGAAATAAATGATAACTTTAATTCGATGGTTAAAGATAAAATGTGGAAATTGTCATCTGGCCGTTATGTGGAAAAGGAATTATACGAGTTAGGAAAGAAGCTAGACTACGAGCAGTAGGCATACAAATTGCATCTCAGTTTGGTAATTATAATACGGAAATCTTAACCAGAGTTTTATATTTCTAGTGCAATACATTCTTTCATA